TGTCTAAGAAACAGCTTCAGCTGCCTGTTTAGAGAGGCCCCTCCGAACTGGATGAGAGGCCTAGGGAGCATTATTCCAGTGTCCACATTCCAGTTTCAGAGACCATTATTCCAATTTCTTCATGAATTGTTTCTCATGTATTTCCCATGTATTTGTCATGCCCATGTATAGGTATTAAAGTGGCCTGTTTCTGTGACTCCTTACAATGTTGGTCAGGATCCATAGCTTTTTAAAATGTCTTTCTGTGTTTATTTCAGCACAGCCTCCTATGTTAATTTGGCCTTCTAGGAGTTCACTTTGTTTTTGATAGTCATTCTTGACATTTGCTTTAGTACGTCCCAGAGATTTCTAGGATAAAGGAAAGCAAAAATTATCTAATTCTCATTTTTGAAAATATAGAATCTAGAAGTTGAAGGCAGTAAGAGCCAAACTGGGTAGAGTCACTTAGTCAGTTGTAGAGCATTTGATTCATTTCCTATTTTTATTTCAATTTTTCACTTTTTAGAGCCAAGCTTTCAAGCATCTTTTGTTTGTTTGTTGTAACAAGGCTGGGATAAGAAAGAGATAATGTTGTAATGTTGTTATTTGTTTCCTAAATATCAGTACACTGTTCAGTGTTGCAATATTCAGTTACATTTATGAGACAATTTCTAAACTGATGTTATACCACGGGAGTTGGTATTTCTGTCCTACCAACCCACAATCAGGCTACACATAATACTGCTAACATTGTTTTAACAAAGAAGGCATCAATTTATTTAGGAGGGGATTTTCCATAGCAAGCAATTATGAAGTGAAATTCAATGAAAATATAAACAAGAGGTGAATGAATGAAAACGAGCATGTATATTGTAGCAACTGCTGGTTGTTAATGCTTGACCATTACTTCTTGACAAGATTAAGGTCTTTCTAATCACTCTAATCCCCTCTGATAGGTCCATCTATAATCCATCCATTTCAGAGCAATATCCAGATGGCTTCTGTTGGGGGAGGGAATACAGCAAGCTAGAGAGGCATGAGCTGAATCGGTTTATGGTCAGCTCCTTATGTTTCCCTTTTCCAGAGTTATTACATTTGAGGCTTTCACCATTCAGAAATTGAGACAGTGAACTAGGCAGAGAGCTATAAGCACAGATGATTTAAACCTAAATTCAATATACATATCAGATTTGTGAATCTTCCAGCTAGTTTCCTTGCCACTGTTCAGAAAGAATGGAACAGCTGAAAACCCTGAATTACGTTGTCTTAATGATGGCTGCTCTAGAAAATGGTTCAAATTAGCACTTTGAAGTTATTTACATCTGCCAAGCTCCAAATACCTTATTTAGCCTCATGGACTAGACAGGCATATTGTCACCGTTTTAATAAGGTTCTTGCTAGCTGTCATATTCAAAGTATTGAGCTTTTCTTTACAAAGTCTCACGTGTGTTCAGGTCCATTTCCATCTTCTAAATACCTGAAACAAAAGGAAAAACGAGGTAGCTACTTGAGTTTCAGAGTTTAATGTAGAACGTTTTCCTATATTATGGTGTTGGTGTGGATAATGGTATCCACTGTAAGAAGTAAATTCTGTATGAGATAGACTTAATTGCTACCTTTGGCAACTAGGTTTAGTTAGTTCTTTGTTGTTCAGTATAAAATATCTGTCATAAGAGGTGACAGTGCCTAGCTGTTCTTGGAAAAGAATAAGCAGACTCAGGCCTAGTACTTCATCAGGAAATCCCAGGATCGTAGCCTAGACTTGGTCATTTTAAAAAAATCTCAGAAGCAGCTGTCCATAGCATTGGGAACCTCACAGGCCTTTAAGCCTTTATATCCCTGAATTTGTCTAATCCTCTCTTAAAACTATTTAAAATTAGGCTTATCACCACTTCTGATGGCAGCAAATTCCATAGTTTAACTGTGTGAAGTATAGCAAAGGAAACAGCATGCCTTGCGCAGTGCTAGCCACATCTGAGCTGTACACTGTATGTTTTGAAGTATAAGATTACCTAGTATGCAGAGGAAGTTGCAAATACTAAATGCCGTTTTACAGGATATTTCAAGAGGACTTAAAAAGAGGATGTTGAAGCATCACTTTTTGAACTAGTTTTAGCATGAGAGGTTCAATAAACAAGGCTCTAGAATTGTTTGAAAGTGAGAGATGTGGAATTGTGAAGAAACAGAATTGTTACTTTTTAATACCGAATAAAGGTCAATTTGTCTTGGAATTATTATAGGAAGGTCACTATTTTGGGGAAGGCTGATATATGGCTTGTTTTCACTGTAACTAGTAGTTTCCATAATACTCAAGTCTGATTATCCTTTTGGCCTAACTTGAAGAATCATTACTTTACACTGAATCTTATTTTGCAATATCGCTCTCTTTCTCTTTCTCTCTTTTATTAAACTGGAAGGCTAGATTATAACATAGATAGGAGAACAGATTTATCTCCTCAGTAATGCTTTTTGAAAGAATTACAGTGACTAATTTATCTGTTTTTAGGAACGTTCTGTCCTTCCAACTAAGCTTTTTGATCTCTTATTTTTGCCTGTTTTATTTGAACAGTAAATCTGTTATTTTTAATGCATTAAATTAAGTAACAATTTGCATGTTTGTTTTTTAAATAACCGTTTAAACATTGCCTTCTCTTAGGGATCAACTATTATTTTCTCATTAGTTGAAAGAGCACTCCATTATTTATTTGTTTGTTTATTTATATATCACATTTATATAGCCACCCGTCTCACACAAAGCAACTCTTGGCAGTGTATAACAATTGAATAAAATAAGAATAGTTAAAAACAATCATTATAAAAGATAAAAAAGTGATTATTAAAATACAAACATTATCAAAAAGTATATTATTATACTCAACATCTGAGAAGTTACAATGTAACTGTAATCATGGCTAATTTTCTACTATCTGATATTAAAGAATAAAGATTCTAGAAAAGAAGGCATATGCTAATATATAGTGAAACTAAATACAGTGAAATGTCATTTTTTAATTTTTTTTTCCTTACAATGATCTGCAAACAAAACATGGAGGATTAGAAATTGACAAATATAAAATGGACTAATTACTAATTTTGAGGATACAAGGTTTTCACTATTTTATGACAGAGGATAAGCTGTACTTCAGCAGGACTTCATCAAATGATAGTTACTATATTATGAAGAAGAAACCATTGATGATAATTGTTAAGTTTGGCTATTGTTAACAGGATGTTGTGTTGAAAGCTTTGGAAGTCCTTGTTTCATTTCAGACAAGCTGCAACCCATACTGATAAAGATAGATGGATTGTCTTTTGATAGCTAGATTTCTTTGGAACATTTCCCTCACCGGAAAGCTATTCTTGCAGGCCTGTAAGAGTTATACCACTTCTATGAGAAGATAAACAAAATTAATCCATTAAAAACCAACAAGAATCATGTTGGCCCGGAAAAAGAAAATCCAAAATCTATATGGCTAAAACCTTTATAAGGGCAACAGGAATTTTTACAATATACATATAATGTAGACAGTATAAATTCCTACTGTTAAAAATAATCAGTTTCCAACCGTTTGAGATACATCCAACAAATCCAATGATTGGATTTACAGACTTGGAAGGACTTCTTATTTCTTCTCAGCAAGATTTTAAGAGAGCTCTAATGCAACCTGGTTCCTCTCTATACTTAACAAGGACTGAAGACCCCTTTTCATTCCATCTAAGGATTTAACCTGGTGCATGCATGGCTCAAAGATCAGCCACAGGAGTCTTATTGTTTTGACTAATTTTGAGTCCTTACATTTGAAATCCAGCAATTATTTTATAAAAATTAATCCAGCATCACAATCATTCTAATCTGAGTTTGCATATGTTATAAAACTGCATCATCATATTGGACTGACCTGAATTCTTATGGCCTTCCAAATCTGTAAAAATTATAGTTATGCAAAAAAAAAAAATACAATTCATGCATCATGTGGATAGTGCTTCAGCATGAGGCTTTTATAACCAACTGCTCTGCCTTATTCACATAATGTTACAGTGTCACTGTCTTTCATACTCTCCCATGTTTTCCCATGACCTCCTCCATTTTTTCTAAATCAATCTGCAAAGGTCAAGCAGATGAAATAATGCTTTTTTATTCAGTAGCAGGATCAGGCCTTAGAGGCACTTAATGGTTGCAAAAGATATTTTTACTCAGATGTGCTGTAATGTGTACTATATATGGAGAGAATATATGGGTTGTCTGGAGGGGGTCTGACCTCACTTATATACATATCAGCCCATTTTGTACGCTTAACTGATCATGAAAAAGAAAAATGAAGAAAGTGTTGGGGGGTGGGGTGGGATTATTTGTTTACTCAAATAATAATTCCATACCGGAATAAATAGTATAAAATTAAGATGCTTCAAATGATCTGATTTATGGCTTGCAATCTGTATGCATAGTTTGCTTGCTTGGATGGCCTCAGATCTCAGTTAATGGCTGGATTATAGTGTTGCCTGCATTTTAAAGTTGTGGGAACTAAAGATAATTAGAGTTCAGTGACTTCTTTCTGATATCGTATTAGGGCTAGATTTGTTAAGTGGGCACCTTCTATTGAGGCTAAAGGAAATACGTGTTGTTCTCTGTTTTAAAACAAATTGGAATATTTTCTTGTTTGTTGTGTCAAACACACAGCGTAGACATATTTTTAGAGCTGAGCTCATGTGGTTGCACTTTCTTTATTTGACCTAAATCCTGAAACCTGAATACAAAGTATAGATCAATTACATAAATTGTGGATGGTGAACTCTCCATGAAGGGTTCAGATATGGCTTTCTGCTTTCTGCTAACTCTTTCCTGGCCAACTCCTTCCTACAGTCTCCTGCAAAAGAAGACTGTAAGGCAAATCTTCCTTTGATCATCTTTGCCCAGAGAGAAGGTTAGATAGGAATTTGTTGCCCTCTCACTTGATATAGTCATAGACCTAATTTAATAAGTATGTGAAAAAAAAGACATACTTTGTGTTTTCTTTCAACAGCCTGATGTCTGGACTAGCAGCTCTTGATGCTAAAACATCCAGTCGATTAGGCATCATTACAATCACTTACTATCTTTGGACTACATTTGTGGCTGTGATTGTGGGAATCATTATGGTGTCCATTATCCATCCTGGTGGGGCAGCCCAAAAGGAAAATACCGAGGAAAGTGGGAAGCCAATCATGAGCTCTGCAGATGCATTGCTGGACCTAATTCGGTAACAGTGTTAATTCTTACTGCTTTTATGAAGGGTCAGATTTTGCATATTCAATGATATTGTGGTGAGTGATCACATTTTAAAAGATACGTTTTGGAATCTATGAAGAATGCTGAAGGTCAATAATGAGTTCATTGAAAAGAACCTAGGTGGCTTATTAGGTACGTCTCCCTACACGTAGCTGCTACCATGAAATTGCTTGCCATAGTAAAAAGATATAGATCAGTGTTTTTCAGACTTGGCAACTTTAAGATGTGTGGATTTCAACTCCCAGAATTCCCCAGCCAGCATGAAGTCCACACATCTTAAAGTTTGAAAAAAAATTATATAGATTATTTATTTATAGCATTTCATTCCCTCCCTTTATCCCATAAAAGTAACCCTGTGAGGAAGATTGGGCTGAGAGATAGTTATTGGCTTAGTTGGATAGTTATAAATATTCTGTTTATTTGTTGTTCAGTTGTTAAGTCGTGTCCGACTCTTCGTGACGCCATGAACCATATTGCGCCAGGCCTTCCTGTCC